CCGGAATTGAGTTGACACTGGGGCAATGACAACCACATGTCTACTCTACGGACCCACGTGTGCATGGGGATCTAATGGCGAGGCTGTAGTTCAAGTTCAATAAATAATGTGGGGCCAACTGGATACACATTTGGAAAAAGTTGTATTCTCCGCCTCATGTCATTCACACATAAAAATTTATCCCAGATGAATTAAAGCACTACACATACAAGACAGCACTGTGCAAGTAGTCAAAGAAAACAGGAAATGGATATCTAACCTCGGGTAGGGAAGGTCTGCTTACACAAGACGTAAGACACAAAATGCATTAATTTGACTACAAAATAACTTAACCTCTCTCTGACAAAGTGCACTCTAAAAAATGTTACAAGACAGCCCTAGCTGGTTTGGCTCAGTGGATAGAGCGTTGGCCTGCGGACTGAAGGGTCCCGGGTTCGATTCCGGTCAAGGGCACATACCTTGGTTGCTGGCTTGATCCCAGGTCCTGGTTAGGGCACATGTGGGAGTCAACCAAATGATGTGTCTCTCTCACATCAATGTTTCTCTCTATGTGTGTGTGTGTGTGTGTGTGTGTGTCTCCCTTCCATTCTCTAAAAATCAATGGAAAAATATCCTTGCGTGAGGATTAACAACAAAAAAGTTACAAGCCAAACTGGTAGAAAGACTTGGCTGTATACCTACAGATGAAACAAACTGTACTAAAAATGTATGCCTATTAATTTAAAAAGGCAGCCCAATAGAAAAACAAGCAAGTACATGGAGATAAGATCCAAGTGGCCAATAAAAATACGAGAAGCTGTCCCATTTCATTAGTAATTGGGAAAGTCATATGAAGTTAAAAATAAAAGATGATTTTTTTATCAGATTGGCAAAAATTAAAAAGACTGGTGACCTCAAACATCAGGGCGGGAATGGGGAAATGGGTATTTTCATAAACTATTGCTGTTTCGTTCAGCCCAGAAGATGGCCTCATTTAGTTCAAAGGAAGAATGAAAATTGCTTTGGGGCTGCGTAGACACACTGTCACGCAGGGTTTGTTGATGGGTGAGGTGGGTAGGTGGTAGGAAAAGGAAAGAATAAGCCAAGAAGAAGTACAAAGTGAAACTTAAAAGGCCGATGTCATAGATAATCTGCCCGTGTGACTCAGAGGAAACGGCATTTCTTGTGGGTGTTGAGGGCAACCTCTTGAAAGCACGCAGGGGTTTGAACAGCATCGAGTCCGAGAACCACAAGACCTTGAGGGAGGGTTTTCAAAGCCGTCATGCTTTCCCCTCGCCCCCCTCCCCCTCCAGCCCGCCACAGCAAGGACACTCTTCCCGAAACAGACATTTCTGTCCCCCGTCATGGGAACTGTCGGAGCGGATTCCAGCTCCCAGAGCTGGCTCCGACATCCACCTCTGGAATGAGCCACTCACTGGGCCTCAGTATCCCCGCCTGCAAATGGGGCTCACGGTGCTTACCTGTGCTGTTGCGGGCATGCTGAACGGGAGGATGAGTGTCTGACAAGGCTAGTGCTCCCCTCGAGAACGTAGGAAAACAAGCGAAGGTTATTATTGGTCTGGCAGCAGGGCCGCTGCGGGACACACTGAGGCATGGAGGCTCGGGGGGGATAGGCTCTGAGCACGTGTCTGGTGATATTTTAAAGCTAATGATAATTCAACGTAGATGAGAAATAAAGTGTCCCCATCTTTACAAGTCAATAAAAAAAAAAGTCAGCAAAGGACACAGACAACCTAGAAGAGAAAAACATCAATGACCAATAAACACGGAAAAAGTTCAGCACCACTACTCATTGAAACGAAATATAAAATTAAATAAGTATGAGATTCTATTCTGAACCACAAAATTGGCAAGAACTTTTTTAAATGTAAGAGGCAGGCATTGGAAAGCAGCGCGCTCAGTAACTGCTATTTGAACAGACATTTCAGGACAAATAAAGGTGCATCTCAAAAACCTTTCAAGGGGCGAGCCCTTTACAGGAATTAACCAGGCTGGCACCGCCATAGGCAGGTGTGGGGGTATCGACTCAGCTCACTGCAACCCCCTCTGTCCTCTCCTCCCCACCTCCACCACAGGGTCACAGTCCACAGGATGGGCGGCCCCACACTTGAGATGGGGGACAGGGCGAGAGGGGGAAAGATGACTTCATCTGGGGAGGGCGGTAACGTATGAAACTGGAAACTGGGGTGGCCATTTTCCCCAAGCAGTGAGAGCAGCTGCCCTTCCTCAGCAAGGGCCCGGCAGCCGCCCAGGGAGGTCCAGGCAAGAGTGAGGGTGTGCTGTTCGGGTCCTCAGAGCAGCAGACACCAAGTGGGATTCGATGTGCAGGAGATGCATTTGGGGAGCCTTCTGGGGAGGGTAAA